AAAGTTTCCCAGTGATTTTAGCTGTAAACAAGTGTAGTTAAGTTGATTATTACTGAACATATGTATTTTAATATTTTAGTCAAAAGGGGCTCTGTCCGTGAAAGACTATTGTTTTCATTTTGCGATTTCGCTTTGAAAACTTTAAAAGGCTGTATCACTTTTAAAATCGTTGCCACCAAACACTATCGCCCAATATTTGATTTGAAGAAATTAAATAATAAAGAATCTGCATAAATGTATGTATGTTTCTCGCATTGTGATAAAACAGCGGTACCTAGAGCCATCGAGATTTGAATGACATAATCCTACTGCGAATATGGGCACCTGAAAACCCAAATTTTAAATTTGGAATGTGTTTATTTATTTGTTATTTGTTATCGATGTCATATTTCGTAAAACTTTAACGAATTTTTATTAACAAACTCAAGTATTTCAAAGCGAGTAATAGCAACACGCTACCAGGGAAAAAAAAAAAAAAAAAAAACCTTTTTTTTTATCGTTAGCTCGCGGAACTGTTTATCGGAAATTCTAAAGATGTGCTCATTTTAAAATAATTTGGCGACATTGCTGTTGAAATGGTTTAAGGGCAAAAAACGCGATATTAATAAATAAAGGTAATGCAAAAAAACGTTAAAAAACGCCCCTTTAGACGTAATTTAAAATCTGAAACCTTTCAGTTTTCTTTTTAAACTTTTCCTTTCCCCCCCTCCAATATGCGTTTTAAAAAATTTATAGTGAAGTTGTTTTCCTGTAAAAAGACTTCGAATTTGCTAAAAAGGAAACTCAAAAGCTCTCAAAACTTTCATTTACTTCTTAGATAAAGTATACAGTTAGATTAAGATACGGTAACACGCCGAATAAATATTAATTTAGAAGTCAAACAACAAAAATGAGCGTAATATTTTTTAAATTTTCACAGGACTAGTTTCGATGGTTTTACCGAACCATCATCCTCAGTTGCAAAAGCGCAAAGAGCTGAGGATGATGGTTCGGTAAAACCATCGAAATTAGTCCTGTGAAAATTTGAAAAATATTACGCTGATTTTTGTTGTTTGACTTCTAAATTAATATACAGTTAGATGCTTGCTTGTTCTTTGAAAATAAGATCTCGCATATAAATCAATGATCACCATGTAGTTTTATACTGCAATTAGGAAGTAACTGTTAGCATCAGTAGTTAAGCAGACTCAGGTAAAACTTCTCTTGATTAACTAAATTTCGTAGCATGTCAGAAATTTAACAAAAATTACATATAAATTACAATATTTATTATATGGTATACGTATAATACATTATATATGTTGTTATATGTATGTTTGTAGAAACATTAGGTTATTTTTTAAAGCAGGAGGGATGAAAAATGAGCAACGCCTTCGACGGGAATCGAACCACGGACCTCTGGAATACGCGTCCAGTGTGCTGACAACTAGACTACGAAGGCATGTTAAGAAGGCGAGAGAAATGCCTTACATATTATACATATAAATATGAACAACAGTTAACTTTATATTATCGGAAATTTAATAGTTGGAATTAAAAAATAGCTAGAATTATGAGCATTGTAATGTTTGATATATTTTGCAACTATCAAATAGTGCCCAAACTCTTGGTAGACTTAAAAGCGAATTCTTACTATGTCTAACATAACAACTGAAACTGGAGAAAGGTGTAAAAGACCCTTTTACTTAAAACTAAGAAGAGCAGAAGGCACATCTGGTGCTTACAACTCAGTCAGTACTGCCAGCACTTACTTAGATAATTTAAAGTATAACCTTAAGTCAAACGTTAAATTTAAATGAAATAAAGTATCATAGCCAAAGTCTACACAGATTAGTTTAACACGAAGTTGGCTCACAAACCTAACTGGCGTGGAGATTCTATACCGGCAGTTCTAATGCAAGGCCGGAGTCTTCAGGCAGAAAACGTTATTAATTACTGCAATCGAATTATTAAGTCGTTTTGAACTTGTAAATAAGCCGACTTCCAAACTTCGAGAGCAAAACACTATAAATTATTTGTAAGTCATTTTGAACTCATAAATAAGTCAACTTCTAACATTAGGAAGGAAACCGTATTAATTTGTTGACTCATAAATAAGTCAACTTCTAACATTAGGAGGAAAACCGTATTAATTTTTGCAATCGAATTATTTTAAGTCATTTTGAGTTTTTAAATAAGCCTAATTTCAAACTTCGAGAGCAAAGCATTTTAAATTCTTGTTGCCTGCAAGTCATTTTATACTCACAAATTAACTGCCTCCCAAATTATGGAAGCAAAATGTTATTAATTTTTGTAATCGAATTATTTGTAAGTTATTTTGAATTCACAATTCAGTCAACTCCAGGAGCCATCAGTAGAAAACCATTATTATTAATTTTCTTGATCAAATTGCTTGTAAGTGATTTTGAATTCACAAATAGACAAACGTCCAAACTTCAGAAGCAAAATACTATTCTTTTTTTATTCGAATTATTTGTGAATACATTTTGAATTCTTAAATAAACCCACTCCTTAAGTTAAGGGTCGAAACATTTGCTGAAATTTCTTGCTTTTACACGAAAATATACCGTAATTTTTTATTTACAGACCCTGCAATAAATAGTAATAGAGGATACATTCACGGTTGTCAAAAAATGCCGTCTATATCACCTTTCCCGCAGAATGCCGAGTTTTGAATTTTTTTGGGCTTACACGAGTCGGGATGTTTCCATTGCATGCTGACGGACATCCCTTCCGGCTGGAAGTGGTGACACCAGGATTCATTCCCTGCCACTATGTGCTACAGGGACAGGGAGAGGGAAAAGTGGATGGAGCACCAGAACTTCGTCAGTGACTTTTACAGGTATTGCTCCGCCGCCCTACTGTACCCGTTGGGCTTCGTTTGGCCTGCATCGGATGGCAGCCTAACAAGACATTTACATAGAAACTTTACATTAATACTAGACTTACGTATTGAATATACAATGACAAAGACACAGTATACAATTATTACACAGAAATTGACCTATTAACAAAAGTTGGATTATGGCAAAATAATATAACATTATTACTTGGAACATACATCATACAATTTTTCATTGTAAATCGGGCATTGTACTTGTACTTCATACGAACAATATATTTACATTAGAATATCTAATTACATCGAATTACATTAAACATTTTTAAAGGAACTAATTGGTGAAGAATGGTTTGTGCATCTCATAGCATTTTGTTGTATTCCTAAGACAAATTATAGTGTTAATATATTTCCTTTCATTTTTTAACTTTTTACACACAATTGCATCAGCACTGAAGTCTTACTTTTTTTTTTTTTTTTTTTTATAAATTAATGTAACATAAATACAGAAAATATACATTAGAAAATCATTAATACTTATATTTACATTAATATATCTAAATAAGTCATTTACATTAATATATCTAAATAATAATTATCTAAATAATAAATATTTAGATATATTTACATTAATATATCTAAATATAATAAATAACTCGTATGTTATTTTTGAAATTATTTTTTAATTAAGAATTTAATTATGACAATATTTACCCCCCATCTCCTAATAGAGTCCAAATTCTTAATGTAATTATTGTGTGAAAACAATTCATACCATATTTAGCCTGTTTCATACATTTGCAATATTTCTGAAATCTTGCATTATTTTTGTAAGTTATGGAATGAGAAGAATTCTTACAGATGTGATAACATCTTGACATATGTCTACTCTTTTATATGAGAAAAGTTTCTTCATAATCAAGGAAACTTTTGTTGTAATTGAGGGATCGTTAGAAAGCATTTAATGTACTCGGGCGTAATTTGTGACCTTTCTTAGCAGTGTAGCTCTTTTGTGAGCTGGCACTTGAAAATATAGTGCTCTGGGTTTCCCTTTTCCCCACATACGCACTTGTCTGAATCTCTCAAATTTCGTGCAAAGTAGTCCATGGGGTAAAATACCATGTCCAGATAAGAAGATGTTATTGAAGAAGTTATATGAGATTGGATCATATGTGGGTTTCTTGTAGAAGTTAAAAAGGCCTTCTACCTTCTGCATTTTTCCATTCAGCTTGTCATTTCTTTGATGTAATTTTTTTCAACATATGTTTCGCATACGATTTTGGGAATGGGACATTGATTAAGGTAGAGATGGATCCTGAGCTGCATTCTTAGCAAGCGCATCTGCTCTTTCATTTTGGGCTTGTCCTGCATGCGCTTTTACCCACTTTATTTTTATAGACGTCCTGTTGTGCTGTGATATTAAATCGTAGATGCCTTGTACTATTGATGATTTGTTTCTTGCATCATCAAAAGCTTTAATTGCCACTTGGCTATCACTGTAGATGGTAACGTATGTTAAATGCTTTTGATGAGACCATAGAATAGCATGTTTTATGGCTGAAAGCTCAGCTTGGAAAACCCTGTTGTTCTTTCTTAGGTGTGCTTTCCATTCTGTTATTTTTTGTTCTGAGAGGAATGCTAAGAGCGCGCATTCAACATTTTCGTTTATCTTTGACCCTACTGGAAAGGATCTACCTTGATCTTTGACCCTAATTTGTACATTTTGTACTACTTTGTGGATCTTTGACTCTATTTTCTACACTACTGGAAATGTAGGCACACTAAGGGTTTCTTCTTTTGTTGATATTCTGAGTTTTGCGTGTACTGCAGGATGTTTTAGGTAAGGATTTTGAGGCTGTTCGAAATCAAGGGGGCACAAGTCTTGATCTTCTACCTCTATATTTTTGAGGTGAAAAAACGTGGCTAAGTCTGCATCTTCTTTTGCTTTCAGATATAGGGGTGGGATTCCTGTTAATACACAGAGTGCTGCCGTTGAGGTAGCTTCTGTATGCTTTTGCTATTTGTAAGAGGAAGGGGCGTTGGATCGAAGCTAAAAGTCTTTTCTTTTTCACTGTCATAGAGTGAGCCCATGCTGATGCCCCGTAGAGAATTATTTTTTCGATCACGGTATTATAAAGAATATTTTGCATCCTACTATGTGCTACAAAACGTCGTCGCCGTAAGCCGTGTAGTGCACCAAATACTGTAAATTGAGGCCCATTTGTTGTTTCTTGTGGTGTTCAGACAATATGTGGGGTACCCACTGGCAACAAACTTTCTCATACTTCAGAACGTTGCTGGCAGTATTGTGAACAGACCCGATGCAAATGCTCAATTCATCTGCAACTTCACGAATGTTTCGACGTCCATTTGCCTTAATTGCCATGTCAGTGATCCTAATCAGCTTATCGGTCACAACCTTGTGCGCCTGACCGGGCCGCTGCAAATCTGCTGTCTCCTGCCGACCATCGCTTAATATTCTCGCCCACCTCATCACGTGAGCTTCGACACACACGTGTCTCCGTACACAGCTACCATTTTTTAATAAATGTCCACCAGCACCCTTCCAGTGTGAAAATGTAATTACAGTTCGCTGAACTTTTTCAACGCAGTTGCATTCAAACCAGCCATTTTTGAATGAATGCCACGTCCTTACGACACGAAGTTAGCACGCAATCTCCTTCCGTACACGCATGCGTGGTACGTACAGCTTCACTATCTCGTCTATTTGACAAAAATCAAACTTTCGCACGCGGTGCTTCGAATCAATTTCATTTGAACACGCTAAGTATATATAAATTCCGTCCCATTTTATTAAAATAAAAAGTGCCACCCGTCAACAGTTTTCAGATCGCTCATTCGACCCGCATGCAGTTCGGGCTTGAAACCACTGTTGTAATGATCATTAAAGTTTTCTGTTTTAAATAAAACAGCCAATGACTAAAGAAATGATTTTGTCTACTTTGCTTCTCTGCGGCTAAAATCAGCATTATTATCTTTCTCAGGCCTCCTCGGGGTTCTCTTGTAAGTAGTTAAACTCCCTTTGATAGTTACGATAAAATGACTTTAATTTTGATATTGGATTTTATGAGTTTTGACTAATAAAATATATGTGAAGAACCGAACAAAAAACTTAAATCAGGCAAGGACGGCCTGAAATGAATCTAGCAAATGGTGTGCAAGATGCTTTGTGTTTGAGATAAATTTGCTAGAAAATGATACAATCTTCTGTGTGAGATGACAAGAAGTTTTGGTACAATTTGGTACAATGTCAGGTACAATTTCTGAATCATGTGGTAAATTGTATAATGGTTTATAATGCAACAGCACTCAAAATGTGCAATAAAATGTGAACTGTATGCATAATGATATGCATATATTTTACACTTTTATAGAAATAACCAAGTTCGTGGTAACAACATCACATAAAATATTCTAGAGAAATCAGTTTTGATGCATGCTTGTTAAAGTATTGGATATATATTTCACAGACTATTGACGGCAAACACATATAATTAAGTTTTTAAATTACAGAAAAACATCAATTAAATGTTCTACTTTTACTTTGTAGTAAAAGTCAATTAAATGTTCTACTTTTACTTTCTAGTAAGCTACCTTACCTACAACTAAATGCCTACTGGAAGGACCACACAAGACGTAAGTAACGTTTAAATCAAAAAATAAAGTTAGAAATTTCCAACATTACAGCAGCAGTACATTGTTGTTCCCTCCTCCAATTCACTTATATAATTAAGAGAAAAATACCCTAGTTAGAAACGAATTAATCCCATGATGAATATTTCATAAATTATCCCGTTATTCAGAAAATGAATTTTACTGAAAGCCTTCTGCTAAAATAAAATATACCGCTTTCAGATAAACTGAAACATATTATTTAAATAAAACAAATGTAGTATTAAAATTAATACTAGGGAACTTCGAAAATGTAATTCATATTTCCGAAAGGAAATGTATGTCTTAAAAAAAAGTGTGAAATGCGTTGATATTAAAGTAGGCTTCACCCAGTGATTTAGTCTTCAAAAAAGCTTCCTTCCATTTCATTACTCTTTAAAGATGCATGTTCATCTGTAGGCTCATTTAAATATACGAATAATAAAATATGTATTTCTCTTACCGAACTTTGAAAAAGAAAAGCCGAAATAGGAAATTGATAAAAGCGAAAACTCCTTCCATTAGAATAACAAATGACAATTTTAACTCGTAATAGAGATTAATATGCAGAATAAACTAAACTCTGCTTGTTATGCGATTAGCGATAGTGGACTATTTATGTGCAAGGCAGAAAAAATGGACCATTACCAGCTATTAACTCGAGCATCCGCAATTAATTCACTAAATGGATACAAAGAAGTTTTGAACATAGTTTTGCTCTGCTGGAGTGCGCCTCGGTATTTTATAAAAAATAGAACATGTCGTTTTGGTAAAAAGAGATTTCTCTATAAGGTTGTGATGATGAGTCTTTTATTTTTAGGCAAAGTATTAAAAAACTTTGTATTTTAATAATATCCCATGCATGGGTTTATAGAAATTACTGTGCTTTCGAATTTAATTCAAAAATTCCAATTTGTTCATTTTTCTTACACATACGAGTTATACTTGACATTTGTTATAGTAAATGTTAATTCGTTGTTTAAATTCGTGTTAATGGCTCGTTTGTGCCTCCTAGAATAATACAGCAACATCACTACATATGAAATGAGTTCTTAATTATTTTAAGTGAGTTTCAATTAAAATAACTAGTGAGTTTAATTTCCTTTATCTTCTGTTGCATGGATTTGAAGTTACTGTAGCTAAAACGCCCGAAAATTCATTTTTATGTTGTTATAGCTGAAACGCACTAAATCTTTGCTTTATAGGTTTTTTTCAATAGGCGCTTCATTAGCTCAAAAGGGCTTTTAGTCACGGCATTTTACGTCGAATCACTATAAACGTTGAATCAACTTTTGAGATTGCTGAAACCAAATATTATCGCCCTGTATGACATTTAAAGAAATTAAATTTTTTAGAATATGCATGAATGTATGTGTGTTTCTCGCATTGTGAAAAACCAAAGGTGCATAGAGCCATAACATTTTGAATAACGTACGCCTCCCTCCGCATATGAGCACTTGGAAGCCCGAGTTACGAATTTCGAATTTGTTATATAATCCATTTCATATTTTGTAAAATTTTAACAAACTTTCGATTAAAAATTCATCAATTTCAAAACGAACACAGGCAAATAAAATATTTTTCTCCCTTGTTAAAAGGAGCAAACGCAAAAACTAGAAAAAAAAAAAAAAAAAAAAAAAAAAAAAAAACATGGACTTATGAAAAAATAGATGGAGATTTTTCTTTTTCTTTTTTATATACATTTTAACAGTCGCATTGCTTTTCATGTCTTTTTTCAATCGCTTATCTTCAAAGGCAACAATACTGAAAACTTAATACATTTCCGTTTATAGCTTTATAAATTAATACGTTACTATAAAATTGTAATAAATTGTGATATACGATATGAGCATTATTGCTCTTGGACGTTGTTTAAGTAATGTTATTTATAATCAAATCCTGGGCAGCGTAACGAACACAAGCTACTGCAGTTAACCAGAATTACACACCGTGCCCACAAACTATGATTCTTAAGTAATAAAATTTTATGAAAATAGTAATAACGTATTTTTAGAATTTTAAAATTAATTTTTCTTATTAAGTGTCATTTTCAGTTAATGAACGTAGAAATGTACTTCTTTTAAAGGCACCCGTTGTGTCTGATGTATACGTACATACTCACCAACAAGAGTGCTGTCATCCAAATTGATACAGAGTTCAGGGCTAGAGATATTAATAATAGACTGTCGATACTTGTTACCACATGCAAAGTGACCAAGCATATTTATTTTAGATGTTGTTCTCTCATTTCAAGCAAATAATAAATTCTACGAAGTTCTATATTTGAATTGCAAAGTTTTTGGGGGAAGAGATATTTTTAACCAAGTTTCATTTGATTCATTATTAAATTCTCAACCAGAGAGGAAACATTATTTATTAATTACTTTTTATCCGACGAGATCTGGAAAGAATATTTAAAGACTTCCTGGCACTGCAATATAGGTGACTAAACTTCAAAACTTGGATGTACGGGTATGATGGGTTAACAGAGCTAGTTACGCAACGTTTTCATACCACCGCATAAAGTCAAATGTGGAATTGTTGTTGAAATTGCATATGTTATAGCTTGCTATTGCTTTATCAGTGATATGTATTTGAATATAAACTGTGCATCTTGCCTCCTTTTGCAACAATTTCACTGATTGAATCACTAGTACCATATTTTCTTTCTTTCTTGCCATTCTAAATACATTTCCTTCACAATCGTCTTTTGCTGCTGCTTCTGAAGTTGTAGTTACTCTTTGTTAAGTTCATCTCTATGACCCTCTAGTAACTCCTCCACGTTTTGAACTTCCCAATTTTTTTCACATTTTTAACTTCAGAGCCATAGCTTTGAAATGCAACATCATAAATAACCAATGGTATTTCAGGAAATCTTTGAATATTAATTCTGTAGCTTTGAGTAGCTCAAAATCTCTTTGAGAGTCATTTCTCCCTGACGTATGTGTTCACACCTTGAGACAACACAGATAGTGTTTGTTCAGATAATTTGCTCTGGTCACAATCTGCTGTGATATGAGGCATTCATTATCTGAAGTTCCAATGTTTTATGTAAAAATGAAAAATGACTACCATTTCTAATATGCCGCAACATACATTCGCCAAAGAGATTTTTTAACTGCTTGTGCATGTGGCCGTCGCTAACATATTAATTTAAAATTATTGTAAAAATGTTGCTCATTGCCCCAAAAAAAACGGTGAAAAGGAAAGGAAATTTCAAACTTTTAATAATAAAAAGTCGAGCTTTACTTATCGAATTTTTTATTTTGAGAAATTACAATTTTATTTCTTTCACAACGATTAATTTTATCAATATAAAACTGGTTAAAAAATTTCCGAATGCGTTACTGAAATTTAATTTACAAGAAAAATGTAGAATTTGAACATAATAAACGTATGCCTATTTTGAGAATAATATTAAATGTCTTGATAAAATGAGAAAATAGGAAATTTTAATACATAAAAAATATGAATTTCGTTACGCGAAAGGGCAGGGATGGTACAGTATTTCATATTGCAGATGTAGTTTAATGTTCCGGTGGTGGGTGCCTTCGTTTTTTATACAAATAATATTTCATTAAATCTCATTAAAATTGTGCAGAATTTTTTTTACGTAATTTAAACAGTTTTTCTTAAATCATCATTTATTAGAAGATATTTTCATGACCTAATCTTTTAGAGAGTATTTGAATTTTTGAAAATGACAAAGTAGAAAATCAACTGTGCTTTCCACGGGATTCCAAAAGTAGCTGGACATTTTACTAACATATACTACGCCAGCAAGTATGGGTTAATAGGATAATTAGTTTAACCATTTCATCT